CCATCTTGGAAAGGAAACACGAGTGTGCTGTGTGCCAACAGCTTTGTGCTCTCAGCCTGCCTGCCTGCTTGCCTGGCTGCAGTGTCAGGAATCAGAATGTGGATATAGAAATGCTTATATGCTAAGGATACAATTCATTCAAACTATAAAAAGAATTGGTTTAATAATTTCATGTTCTGTACCTATCACACAACTTTCACTGTAAATCTCCTGTTTTTTCATTTCAAGTGGATTTCTTTTCATTGTGTGAGAATTTCTTTGTAAAATAGGAAAAGAAGGTGATAGAGAAATCTATAAAGTAAATACACAAGAAGATATTTCTCCCATTGTTTCAATTTATAATAATCAGTGAAATATAATTTTAGCAAAGAATTTAAAGATGCTTAATGATATATCTCCTTCACTTTATTACTCTACAAAAATAATTAAACTGTGATAAAGAAGCTAAAACTAAGCTTGTAGCTTAGCTAATCTAAAGCTAAAACAGTAGTTAAAAACATACTGTGGTAGTGAAACACACTCTAAGCATCCAGATGAACTGAAATTATCTGACTGACTAAAGGAAAATTCAATAGCATATTTTAAAATGTATCACTGGGAGCACATGCTTAACCTTTCAGGTCTTTTCTTGTAATGCTTGTACTCTGTATGTACTTTGTATTTTATCTGTAGGAAAACGGGTAATAGAATTGTGCATGCTTTTGGTTTGTCAGTTACTCTGTGTATATTTTGTTAAATCAAAAGCCTTTTCTGGAGTTGCTATTCATCTTGCTCCCCCCTCTCCTCTCAGAAATTTTGGCACAACCACATATCACATTTAGTGATTCAAAGACAAGTTCTTATTTTTTTGGCTGCTACAACCTAAAAATTAAGGTTAGCATTTTTCCCACAGCAAGTGTGTGTTGCCCTCTGCCTTTCTGTGGTCCCGATGGCCCTAGCTGCCTTTGAGTGCTTCCTTCTGCCCTTTTCTGCTGGACCTGTATTCCTCTTCTTCCTCACATCCTTCTTCTTTAACACTTACTGTCTCTGAGTGATTCTGATTTTCCTGTTAGTATGTGGTTTTTTCCATTTTTTTTTTTACCTTCCCCCACCAAAACAAAACCAAACCCTCGATTTCATTTTGCTTCTTGAATTGCACAAGTGCTCTATGAAGTAGAAAAAGGAGATGGTAATTATAGAGTCAGATTCTTCTTTCCTCTTGGTGTAAGACAAATACATTCAGTGATATAATGGCAGAATGTGTGAAGTAGGAGTGGAATTCAGCTCTTATAAGGCTGGAAAACTTTAAGACAGAAGGTGATTGTTCTTAGCTGTATGTTGGAGGTATTTTGTCTGAATAATGGGTAACAGAAGAGTAATTTAGCATAATCTAGATTTTTTAATACTGCATTGAAACTTTGCTAAAGAATGCTGTATTCTCTCCTTTCAAAAGAGTTTGATGGCAATTGGCAACTAAAACTTTTTTTCGTAGGAAACAAACATAAGTCTAGAATATTCAACTGTCAAAGAAATTTCATAATTAGCACATACATCGCTTTAAAAAGAAATACTGCAATATAGTATATTTAATGGTTAACACAACAGAAATTTTGTTCTTCTGTCTGAGTAAATTCTGTAGCCTTTCAAAGAATTATTTAACTTAAAATGAAAAAAATCCAACATGGGTGGGGAAGATAGGATGTTTAAGTTTATGTGTGGTGGGACATAGTGCCTGTCAGTCCAGTTCAGTGATACTCTTACCAAATCTCCTTCATATAAATAAAAAGTAGGTCCTGATGTTAAACCCACCTTTTGGTGTGTACAAATAAATAATAATTATGTATGACATACATGTGTGTATTTATGTAACAATGAAGGGAGGTGAATTGATCTGATGTGTATCCAACTGCATACTAAATCTAATATATTTAGAAAGTACAGAAGTGACTGCTATTCCCTTGGCACTAATAAAGTAAACAGAACTTCCGACCATGTGTGGATTACATGCCTTGTAATCCATAAAAATTGCTGTGTACTAGAAACTAGATGATGTGATGTATTTACATTTCAGTTTCACAGGTTTGTGATGTACTAGTGTGTGAAGGTATGCTTCTTGAATACTCTAATAGATACTGGCACTACACTCTGCTTATTTTGGTATTTTTAGTGTGGGATAACCTCATTTTACAATATAAAATTGAATGGAAATGCATTTGCAGTTAAAAAACAACATAGTCAGATACCAGCTAATACTTTAGAGACAGAGAACATGTGGAAACTGGCAGTGCTTGCTTGTGTTTCTGAGATGTGTTTGCTGGAATTAATATTTTTGGCGTCCTGTACAATTCTGCTTGCCTTAGGCTGAGTGGTGTGAAATGTAATTGAACTAATGATTCACTGTGGTGAGATCATTTTAAAGAATGTAGTGGGCTTCTTATTGTACAATACTATGGCATAAATTTGCCCTTTTTTCTTCAGTGATGCTGCCTCTTTGCATTCTGTTTTAGTCTATCTGTCAAGCACCCACACCGTCATATCACTCCTGAAATCCTCTTGTGTCTGTAGGATATGTAGTGTGTCTTCACAATTTACTTTTTATTTTGTCTTGTGTTAAATTTGTCATATGGCACAGATAATTTATGGTTCTGTTTTATGATGGCTTCTGGGTCTATGTAGGATGGCACATATTCTTACTTGTGTACCTTCCTTCTGTATGTAGAATTTTTTTTTGCAGCCCTCAAAGTGTACTCCTATGTAGTATAAGTCCTCTTTTTAAAAATTTATTGAAGATGAAGAACAGTAAAAATGAAGTAAAAATAGTAAAAATGAATTTGTAAAGGCAATCAATGAGTGTGATCGACACAGCCTTTAAAACTGGGCTTAATCTCTTTGGGCAATTCCTAGGCTGCTCTTTCTCTACTATGAAGTGCTGCTTCAGTGCATCTGATTTTCTAATGAATGAGCTTTTAACACTAAATGTGTAATTCTTGAGGTTTTATTTAATTTTAAGAACTAAGGTTATGTTGTCAAGAAACCTTTCAAGTCTGAAAGCTTTTCTAAATGCTTTTTTCAGATAAGAACATGATGTAGACTTATTAATCTGTTCATTATCATTTCTCTTTCCTTCTTTTTAAATGAATGAGTAGTATCTTTCATTTAAGAATGCTTTATTGGAAGATTAGTAATCACTGAAATCATGTTATGATATTAACCCTACACATCCCAGCTTCTGCTTCTAGTGTTCAAAATACAGAGGGTAGCTGGAAAGAGAAATGAAGAAGGGGTACAAAAAAGAAAAAAAAATAGTTTCTGCTTCAATATTTTGCATGCATTTCTTTTCAGAAATTATTCTCAAAAGAATTTTTAAACTGGTAAATGTGGAGGATATGGGATTGAAAAAAAAAAAAAAGAGATTATTTCATTTACTTCCTCTCTGCAGCCTCTCAAATAAGATGTAGGATTTCAATTCTTTTAGGAAATCAGAGAGAACTTGGATAAAAAAGTGCTTTAAATGCAGTTGAATGCAGGTATTTTTGGGCCAGTTTCCACAAAAAAACCTCAGTGAAAATATGAAAGTATGTTTGAATATATTACACAGTAATTTTGTATCATTTCACATCAATCAGATAATAACATTTCTAGATAGAATTTACATGATTATAAGTGGCTATTGTTTGTAGAATATGGAACTGCAGTATTATATTTTGGGTCTTCAGGTCTGGTAAGCTAAGACATGAGCTCAAGTAAACTAAGTACATTGCAGGTATTTTTTTTTAAGCACAAAACCAGTTTTGGCAATACACATATGATTAATAATTTAGCTATGTGGTGGAGAAGAGCTTTTTGTTCCCTTAAAACTGTGCCTTTTCTTATGCACAACTTCAGAAAAGTGCTTTAGAAATCCTAATTTTTTATGTAATGTTTTAGTCAAGCTAACTCTCGTATTCAAGGGTATGATCTGCTTTTTTATATAAGATAATAGTTATTGAGAATTAGCATTTTAAATATACTGGTAGCTGGTGACACATTGATCAGTTTATGTAACAAGAGGAATGAAATCATGCTCATTGATTTTGCAGGTTTTTGTTTTGTTTCCCCCTCCCCACCAGGGTTTCATTGAAATGAAGAAATTAAGTGTGGCATGGTGCAAACAACTTGACAAACTTATGTTTGGATAAAGATCTTAATTCTTGTTTACAGTGCTATGGATGATGATAAATGCAGGTTTGGGATGAAATTGAAGAAGACAGTGTAGAACAAGAGCATGCCATGGCTGCCCAGGAAATGCAGGAATGCAGTAGCTGGCAGTATTGGTGATTGGTTTGTGACAAGGCAATTGCATGGCTAGAGCTGAACACAGTGGAGAATAATAAAGTTATCAAGGGCAGGAAAATTATCTTTTACTTTAGCTGTGGCATTTGACAGTCATATCTATGTAGATAGATGGTAGGAATGAAAAATTCCTGTGTGAAAGGTCCTTGTGTCACACTGGAGGTCAGTGTGAAAAATCTAAACCTTTGCACAGGATTGACTCGGTTGGTTGACCTTTAGCATCAGCCAAATAATTTTCTCATCCGTGCTTTTTTCCTTAATTTAGCCTTTTACTCCTGCCCTGTCCTTTGTAATTATTCGAAGTTGTGTATTTTCCATGTAGAAATTGTAGATCTGAGATTGCATATGCAAAACTTTACTTTTCTTAAGAGTACTGTCAATTTTTGGACTGGTATGAATTTTTTTCCCCATATCAAAAGTTTCTGAACCAGTAATTGAAGGACATAATGTGCATGGTAGTCACATGCTGGAGAAGATTGAAATAAGTGGAATATCTAAATATGAGGTCAAAATGCATCCAGGTTGTAGTTGCATAATATTCAGAATACTCTGATCAATATTGTTTATGAATTAAATTTAAAAACACCATATCATACAAAATGGTGAATTTGTGCTATAGAAAATTAATCCCAAGTGCAATTTTTACTTAAAAATTATTTTATATTTACAGAGAAACTGAGCCATACAAATATTTTTAAAAGTTTGCACTTCTTTAAGGCTATTTATTTTCTAAAAAAAGAGGACTTGAATATTTTTGACAAATATACACATGGTGTTACGCTAACAAACAGCCATGCAACATATATCTTACATAATGAAGAAATTGAATATACAAGACCTACTGTATTTAACATATATATTGAAAATATACAGTCTTGCCAATAGTTAAAAAAGTTTTTCTTATTTGGCAGTATTTTTTTTTACAATTTGTTCAAATATTCCGTTTGATGTGTTTTGGTGAATACTGAAATCTAGTCAGTGACAACCTGAGGTACTAAACATTTCTGTCTTACTTCGCTGTCTTCAAAGGTAATCTTTTTGTTCCTTTTAGGCTCTATCCATGAGTTGTGTATTACAGCGTTATTTGGCATGGGATCTGCTTCCACTATTGAAACAACTCGCTTTTTCATCTTACTTTTCAGAACTTTCTGAAACTTTTGCCTCGTGAATGCGTAAAGTAGAGGGTGAAATATAGTTGTTCCATATGCCATTACTAGAAAACATAATCTCAACTTTACCAAAAGGTCACTTGGGCCCAAACATAAGATAGTGGTGTTTAAAACAGAGATGGGTGTCCAGCAGAGAAGGAAGGTGGAGATGATCAGAAGGGACATTCTGAAGACTCTCTTTTGCCGTTCTCGCCGCTCCCGGTGCCGTTTCACAGCTCGGCGCAGAGCAATTATGACGGACACGGAAGTCCTTACACCAAAGACGACGTTTTTTCCTGCGCTGCTGTGGGACACATCCGTAGTCTCATGCTGCGTGGTCAAAGAAATAGTTTTTTTCTTTCTGTTTTTCTTCTTTTGTCCCGTTGTAAATCTTGTACCAATCCGAATATTTAGGGCCTGGAGTATTTTGGTGTATGTAATTAGCATTACTACAACAGTGAAGAAAAATATTGGGATCTGAACGAGAATGTGGTAGTACATTCCTAGCTCAGTGTGGTACTCGTTTGTACTCACGCACAGAAGTGTCTTATTTTCCCAAGTGCTTGCACTTTGGAGACTGAAGAAGTTGACTTCAATGAAAGGAATCAGGAAGGAAAACAGTGAAATGATCCATATTGATGTCATTAATATCACAGCCCTTCCCATGGTCAGGATTCGATTAGCAGGTTTTACAGAGATGTCGTATCGGTCCAGCGTGATAGCGAAGACGTTGATTGCAGTTGAAACACTTGCAAAAGAGACACAAGCCTCATGGAAGCAGCAGATGAGAGCAGTGTTACTCTCCAGTGAAAGCAGAAGGATAACTATAGTTAGAGGAATACATCCCACACAAATTATTACATCAAGTACATGAAGGTTCATTGTAATTATGTTACTGACAGAATTGATTAAGTTGGATTTCATACAGTAAAGTACCAGAACGGTGAGGTTGCTGCCAAGTCCCAAAACAATTTCTAACATCAAAAATCCAGTGAGAGAAACTTGAAAGCTTAATGGATATGACAGTGGTTGGTACATGTTGGTATCGATGTCATCAATGGCATCTCGAACTGTAATGTTAGATTCGGACTGCATGTTGACTTCCAGAATGGGGGACAAACACATTCTTTTGTTGCAGCTGGTTTTTCTCCTGAAAGGTGAAATAAAATATGGAACTATTTGATTTCTTTTTTTAACATTTATTGGAGATAAATGCTGGGGAAGGAGGAGGGGGGAAAAAGCAATATTCTTACCAAACTCTTCATTTACAGTATATTTAGAGCTTTAATTGGCATGGACTCAAAAGCCTGAAGATCTAGAGTAAGGTCTTTGCTTTTTAAAGAAAGCAGGATTTGTTTGAAAAAAGAAAAAATAGTGAAAAGCTTCCACTTAGGGAGGCAAGCCTTTGTTTATAGTGATGTGGTTTTTCACAAAGGGCTCATTTGTTGAATAAACCATACTTTGTGCATAGCCTTTGTATTGCTTTGAGAGTCATTTTAGAAGAATGTTGTTAAGTATTAACAAATTAGTGATCAAGATGATTTTAAAAAGCTCTTGTGGAAAAAAAAAAGTGATAGGAGCATGGGGCACTGCTGCTTATGTATCATAAAAGGGATGTTTAAATTATTTATGCCAATTTATCCACCTCTTTCTTGTAACATTTACGGTAGTGCTGTGGACTGAAATGTGATGTTCTGTAATGCACCAGCTTTTTACAGAGTTTAAACCTTCTGTTCATTTTAATCTTCTGAGCATCTATGTGTATGATGCTTGCCACTACAACAGCTTTATATAAAGTATATATAATTTCAAATGCAGAACTTATATGGGTTTGGGAAGTTGAGTTTATTACAATATACTACATTTCCTTTTTCTGATTTGAATTTTCAATTGCTTCAAGAAATCTATGCCTGCATGGAATGGAAGAGTATTTGATTTTAATCCAGAATATATTTAAGGGAATAATTTCAGCAAATAATATTTAAAAAGAAAATTGTCTCTTTCAGATTTTGATTTTGGTATTTTTTTTTTTTTAGTATTTAATACAAACTGCAGTTAAACCAAGCAGATTTACATACATAGCATGTTTCTCTTAGAAATAAGGATCAGAAAGGTATTTATTTTATCTAGCAGATTTTTTATTTTGTGTTTCATCTGCTTAGTTTTACACATGCGGCTAAGTTCTAAATATAGCATCTGCATGTAATACCTGATGTTTGTATGATTTATATCGTCAGCCAGCTCTTGAGTTTGTAATTGATTGAATAAATAAAAGAGAGGTTATTCAATTTCTTGTTATGATACTGGAGGGCTTTTTCCTAGGTAGCTTTAAATTTAAGAGGGGACATATTTGGCATGAAAATAAATTTGGATGTCGACCTTTGTTCTATTCTGAATATATTAAAATGGATAGTGCTAAGGTGAACAAAACTGAGCTCTTTTAAAATGAAAGTATGAATTAAGCACACTTGGGATACAGTATGCAAATGGATTTCATCTGCAGTTCTGAAAAGCTTCAGTTGAACAATACTATTAATTGCAAATTGTATGATGAAAATTCTTGGTATTCTTCAACAGCTATTTCACATGTACCTCTTAAATAAAAAAAGATGTAAATTAGAACGTATTACTCTCAGGTGTGAAATGAAACAAGAAATATTTCAAAAGCTTTGTTTCATTTCTAATTTAGGCAACCTCTATCTGTCTTACATTAACCCTCAGGGATATGATCTCCTCTTGCATGCTGTTCTGGCTGTGAATTGATTTCAAGAAACCATTCCAAATGCATTGTTGAACAAATGAAGTTCTTTTGTGTTAGCAAAAGCCAGGAAGAAATCAAAAGCAGATCTGCTAAAACAAATTACAGTCTCACCCTCACATTACAGCGACCGAGTTTTTGTGAAAGCAGACAAGCTCAGCTGTGTTAGGTCGCCATGAATAGATTAAGCATCACCTCCTGGGTGCATGGCCTGGGTTTGGGAGCAGAGCTGTGTGGCCAGGAGCTCGTTCCCCCAGCGCCGCGCGGGCAGCGGGGGCACCTACCTGTTCCTGTGCCTCAGGGGCCTGGCACAGCGTGGCAGCAGCTGGGCAGAAAGCGACACATGCTGTCACTGAGAGATTTCTGACACGCACTGTGCCCTGGAAATCAAGTGGTAGCTGAGCTCTTATTTCATTTCTTGCAGGTTTTTTTGTTTTCCTTTTTTTTGTTCCTGCAGTTCAGCAGCAAAAAGTTCTGATTAAACATGGGGACTTCTTAATTGCCTCAGATACTTCTACAGACCAGGGCATATTCTGTGTCTGTTCTGAGTTTCAAGCCAGCAATAACAAATAAACCTTCTTTTAAGTGATGTTAATTTCCTTCCCCTGATGCATTTTGTAGAAGCCTGTTTTTATTTTCCAGGTTTAGAGAATAGTATTTTCTGATCTCAGTTTTCAGGGTGTGTGTAGACATCCTTAGTTTATGGTTGCATATTTCTTTCTGTGATATTCCTGCTCATTACTTTTGAGTGATGGCTTAGTGAAAGAAGTTGCTATACATCATAAAATCCAGTTCATGTGCTTTGAGAGTAACCATGGGTTACCTAATTTGGTTTATTTTGATTTAAGGAGAATACATAACATCATAAAATTGAGAGAAAAATATCCATTAGTCATTATGACAAGTTATTTAATGAGTAGTATAGAAAAAGCTTGGTTAAACCTTTATTCTGCTTGCTGATGAAGTATGCATATTCTCCTTTTGGGATTTCATGTTTCATTGTCTCTTCATGCATCAGTAGTTTCCACAATTCTGGTTTTAAATTATAAATCCCTCTTTAAGAAATGCTCACCATTTTAAGAATCAATCATTGCACTCTTCTTGTAATGAAAATCTGAGCAGATGTGTTAGTCTTCCATGTATATTGTTGAAGTGTCATGCACGGAAATGGTAATGCAAGTGTGTTCCATGTTTTGTTTTTAATTCCTTTATGTCTTAAGAATACATTTTAGGGATGCATCCTGCTGCTCGTAGGTCATACAGCTACAAAGATACCCGGTCAACTGCATTCTTCATATTGTCAGTAGTAAAACTGAATTAGTTGTTGCATGCCCTTGTGAAGGGGAGGAAAAAAAAGGTTAAAAGTAGGGCTATAATTTAAAAAAAATAAAGTAATGCAAGAATGTATTTTCTAATATCACTTATTTAATGAATAAAGGATCTCTAAAAATGGACCTTATAGATTACATAGAAAATCAGTTTGCCTGCTCTCTATTTGCTAGTAACATCATATTCTTTTGCCAGCTTACATGAATTTATGTTTTTTGGACAAGTTTCCTGTTCTCCAGATAGTACAGGTTACAAAAAATCCTGGCTAGAAGCAATAACTGTTGGATGCAGTGTCTGTGACTAAAGCTAGAAAATGTAGTTTTGTAGCTCTGGTGAGCAGGTAGTTTATACATACAACTCTCTTGTCTTTTAATGAGAAACGAACAGAGTTAATGAGCCTTTTAAAAAATACACTTTTGTTTAATTTGCACACTGTTATACTTTCCTTTCTTGAAATAGATGTTTAGCAAATCCATGCTAATAAATGGCTTGTATGTATAGGATAATGAAAGAAATAAGTTTAAAAAAAACAACAAAAAAGGGGGATTTCTTGAGCAATCAGAGATTAGTCATATGAGCCAACCTTCATAAAGCAATAAGTATGCACTAATTACAGACTGTCTGATCCTTCGAAGAGTAACTGAATAAATCTGAAACGTATTTAACTGCCAATATTTGGAAATACTGCTGAGGGAGGAAAAGCATATTCCCGGTTGCTTTATGTGGTTGTTTTCCCCAATACTGTATGAGCTTAAACTGTACTGTCTTCATGTTGTACAAACAAAACAGTTTCTTAATATTCTAGAAGACTTTCATACAGAATAACATTTTTCTATCATTATGTTTTTAATGAGGAAAGGGAAATAGCATTTAAATATTTCCTGGTCTCAAATATAACAATATATTACTGCTTAATATAAGTTGAAGCTGATCTCTTGCCTTTTTATTCTCCAATTTTTAATTTGATTTAATGTTGCTTATTCTGCATATCATAATAAGGAACAGGTCTTACCTCCACTAAAGATTTGGTAAATTCTCGATGCAGGTGAAGCAGTTCCAGGTTGGAGGGATTCATTTTGTTCACTTGTTAGCAGAGTAGAAGGGAAACAGGGTAATAAGCATATCTTCAAAAAATGACCTTAATGAAAATTTGTGCCTGTACTGTGCCATTGTTTCAGCATACTGCTCATGTATACAATTGCTTTAGTTCTGGTTTACAGGCTGCTGCAGTCTCCCACTCTTCCTACGGTAGAATCAATAAGCATCTGAAAATACATAATGAAAGTAATTTAACATACTGAAGGCTTCTTGTCTCCAGAGACACCACGGAGATTCAGGCTTTCTAAAAAAGAAGAGCAGTGCTTCTGAGAGGAAAGCTTGCGATGGGCAGCTTTTGCAGAATGACAGCCTACCTTGTCGCTTCTCCTCACTGCAGAGAGATGCAGTGCATTCACTAATTTTGATTGGTCAGTGATGTTGGGCTTTAATTGTGCTTCATATATGGGATTGATGCCCTCCCTCCCCCCAATTTATATAAGGATTCTTTTATAAAAGGACTAAATTTACAAATGATTTATGAATTCTGGAATATATTAAGGGTATGCCTGTTTTATTTTTACCTTTTCACTCTTTACTTTGTGTACACTGGAAACCACATGGCAGTGAGGAAAAAAAAAGGGATTAAACGGTTATTACTTTAAAAGCTTACTACAGTCTATATTTGCCTACTTTCCATTTCTGAGCTTTTAGGGTGTTTGAGTTTTCTGTTTGATTTTTTTGTTTGTTTATTTGTTTTGGTTGGTTGATTTTTCTTGTCCTAAGAACATTCTGAAATAATGCTGCCTCTTTAAGCCATACTGAATTTCACCGTACATGTTTACACGCAAGTGGTCATCTAGGTTTTGTAGCAATAATTTATATTCAGGATAACTTGATACCTACATGTATATTAGGAAAATTTATGCTAGGATGCACCAAGATTATTCAGACCCTGGTAATTATTCAGAGGTGATAATTTGGTTGATTCATGATCAGAAAAAAATTATTTTTAGGATCCATCACTATGTACAATGTATGTATAGTTGTGGAGGTTATTAATTTTGGTGAAATGTAAACTTCTAAAAAAACTTGCATGTTCCACGTGAATTTTGTTAGAGACTTGACAGGTTTTTGTAAGGATGTCTTTCTTGCATGATGTTCTTGACCTTCACTTTGCAAGGGATGTCTTTGTTTTCACTTTTTGTTTTGTCACCTATTTCTGAATCTGCTCTGTCAGTACAAGCAATGCTCGCAACCGCGTAATAAGAAGTGTAGCACAATACCTGTTTTAATTAGTAGTGGTGCTAAATAAATCTTGGAAATCATTTCAGCATAAACCCGAAAACCATATTTTTCAAAATTGGTTTGCTGAAACAATTAGTTTAAGAATATCTGAGTATAAAATGTCCTATAGGTAGTTTATAATCTCAGATGAGTGTGGGACTTTTTTTCACCATGATTTAAAAGATTTTTAAGTTTTTTTGTAAGGTGTGATAAAGTACTAAATGTTAAATACATAAGTAACTTCGTACATTAGTAACTGTGTTAAGATGGTAGTTTGGGTCAAATTTTGATGCAGTCCTCTGGTTTTAGATTGTTAATGCAAATACATAATGCAGTTGTGTAACTCAGATGTCTTTCTTTTCTTTACTTTTTCTTTTAGGCAGACATCCAATATATTATTTATCTTTAGGTAACAGCATGCTTTATTTATTTTTTAAAATGGCTTTGTATCCATCCAGCATGCTTCCTGTTCCATACTCTTTTGCATTCAGGAACCATGTAAATAAAGATTGCAGAAACTTTGAAGAGAGATCACTGGGTACCAGCTGGCTATGCTCAGTAGCAGCTGATTGAGCCCTTTGAGCTGTCTCTGTATCATCTGCCTCTCAAGAGCTTGAAACGAATGAAACCAGCATAGCTCTTAAAGGTGATGTGATAAAGAGGATTCCCGAAATGAAAGCATAAATACCAATATATTAAAGAGATTTACTTGCTTCACTTTCAGTATGACTAAGGATAAGTAAGGAAGCCTGTCTAAATTTAAACAGATGAATCTCCATCTCCCTTTCTAATTCTTCAATGTGTGCCTTGTGTGCCTGAACAAAGATGGAGGTATTGGATGAGCTGTTCTGTTAGAAAAAGATGTACACACGGAGGAAGATTGTAACAGGATTTTGGGTATATCATGAATACATGGTTCAAAGGCAGGCAAAGGGGTCACAAAAGACTACCTATATGACAGGAGGTGATATTGGCAGAAGTTTTATCTGCAAAAAGTGTTTGAGAGGAGTGATAAGGAGCTGAGTTGTGAACATATATTAAGCTTAAGTTTTCTGGAGACAAAATCAAGAAAAGAAGCAGTACCATATGGAGGCAATCAGGAGTAGGTGGATGGATAGACATGCTTATAAGCCATTGCTGTGCAGATGCTAGTTAAGATGGTGTGAACAGATGACTTCATCCTCAAAGGGTAGATAGGGAAGAGTGGGCAAAAGGAGCCATGTGCAGGCACCCAGCATAAACAGAAAATGTGCTGTTCTTATACCTGTTTCTATATCAGTACAGATGGGAGAAAGAATTTGACTGGTATTTTGGCTTTTAGGGTAGTGAAAATTGGGGTGAAAAGGTAATAAGAAGGTAGAAGTATCAGAGAACAGCAGGAGTCCTAAACCAGGAGACTGGTGATGAAGAGTTTGAGAATGGCAGCACAAGGGGATAGGAAGATCCAGATGGTAACAGAGAATAGACTGTGAAGGGTTGAGGCTGCTGGGTCTGATGTGGGGGGAAAAGAAATGCAGAGAGGTGGGAGCCTGAATCAGAGTGGAGCACAAGGGTAATGTGGCTTGTGCATGTAAAGGGACACTGGGTGCACAGGGGTAGAGATAATGGCAATTGCCATAACACACACCCCTGTAGCACTTCTCAATTCAATTCAGGAGTCATAGCTGTATGTGAGAGTATATTTTCTGGTTTGCTGAGAGGAGGAAATCCAGAAATTTGCAAGTTGTAGTGTATTTTTGGTCCTTTTATCTACTGTCTTACTTTTCTACACAGAGAAGTAATGTCCCAACATTGGCTGTTACTGCATTCCCTAACCATGGTAGGTCATCTCTAGGTCTGAAGGTCAAAGCTCTGCTGTTTAGTTTATAAGATCACCTTGAATCAGTTTCTTGAACTGCAGTGCTTTAAATAAGCTTATTTTGTTAAAAAAGACTCATTAGGCTCAAAAGGTCAAGCAGGACCAAATGAAGTACCCAGTTCTAATGTTTTTCTATCAGAGTCCTTGGTTTTGGAGCTTTAGAATTCTTTTAATGTGTTTTATAGTTTAACTTTGCATAAACCTACTGCAGGCTACTTTAACATCCAGATGTCATGGACCTTCTTCATGAAGATCTTCTTTGGCACAGTTGTGAGACTGTGTCTGCTCACTTCTCTTGTTCTCTGCACTATTCTTTTTTTCTTCCTGACTGTTTCAGCAATACTTTTTTTCCTTGTACTGCACATCTTGTTTCCTACTCTGAATATTGCTGCTCATTTAGTGACTATTTAGAATTTTACTGCGTCTGGGTCTAAAAATGTCATCTGTTTTCATACTAGCAAGAGACTTGAGATCCTAACTCATACAATTTTTTTAGTGCCACATAGTGTCTTTAGAGCTCAAATTGTTTTAGAAAATGAATATTGTGTGGTTTTGGATATCCTGCCCTGGGATTGTTGTTCAGCATTGTTTACATGGTGCATCTACACATATCCAGCTAGATAGCTCCTCTGTACCTTTCATTTACCTACTCTGAGGAGTGCCATGCCCAATTCTAACCTAGCTCTTCTGAATATTTTGTGATTTCTATCTGTTCTAGCAGTTTGTGAAATATATCTAAAATAGTTTCTTACCTTGTTGTATCTCAGTTTCCTCAATAGTCAGCTGCAAAGAATTTTGTTAGAATATTGATGAAAATCCAGTAATTTCTATAGTATCAAGGGAAAAGAAGCAATGGATAATAGCTGTTTGAGTCTGGGAGTTGTACTCATGTGCCCTTGTTATGCTGAATTTGTAAATGTGTTCTGCTTTCTACCTGATACTGAAATTACAGCTTGCTGGTCTGGATCATGCTGGAGCATGTTTTTATGTAAATGGTGACTCTTGACCCATGCACAAGATCCAGACATAAAGGTTTTTAGTCGTAAAGGTTTTTATTATTATTTAAGAGTGATATAGTGAATAGACGACAAAAATTCAGTTAGAATTTGTAGACAGTACTATTCTGACTTGGATGGTAACATGGTCTTTTCTTTCTTTTGGTTCAAGTACTTTATTCTCATTTCTTTAATCTCTAGAGAACTGATCTAAGGCTTTTTCCTTTTCTGCAGCGAGGACTGGCTGCAGAAAAATACAAAAAATTCATTTTCCATTCGGTGTCTTACCCTTAAAGTTTATTTCTTTTTCTCCCTTGCTATTGATTGCCATCTTGCTTTGTTTTGTTATTCTTATAATGACTTATTTAGGTTGGGTTTTGTGAAGGTTTTTTTTTTTCCACTTTTCTGATATTCATGTTTCCCTCGACAGAAAACAGTCCTGCACATGGGACATTGTTGATCTCGGTTCTGCCGCTGTAGAATTACATCCCTGGAAAAATCTGGATTTTCCAGATAAATTGTATGTTGTTTCACTGTGCTTCCTCTTGTATTTACAAAGATGAATACTTTTGGAAGCAGCACAAAGAAAAGTATTTTAAAATAGGCATAGAATAGATAATATATAAATTATATATATAAAAATATAATAGTATGCATATTTTACATGTTTATGTATTTTTATATATAATGTGTACATATTAATTTTCAAGATTCAGAGTTAATGACAGCATAGCAGCTTAAGTATGGAAAAATTAACTACTTTTGCCATGGAATAAGAATGCATTATAAGATTCCTTTGGGTTTGTATAACTACTAGGCATAGCTTATTTCTTCAGTAGTATTCCATGTTAGAACAATTATTGACCTTTTCAGCACTGGAAGGTTCTGTACTCATGAGGAAATGTGTAAGTTAGAGAATGCCCTTTAGCTATTAATACCAAACACGTATCTTGTTTTAGTTTTGCACAATGAGGTGATACCAAAGAAGAATTGCAAAACCATTCTGGCTGTCACTCACATGTAGGGAAGGCATCCTTTTTGTTTCATGGCAATAAATTTGGTTAAGTAGTACAGGTAAATCATGGTCCTAGTGTATTATTGCACAATTATTTAAACATTTTAGTAGAAATGAAAAAAAAGCAGTATCAGTTATGCTCAGGAGGAAAGTATGGCTGTTAAATTTAGCAGTAATTTAAATAACATCAGTCTCACTCTGGCTTTTCTCCATGG